AGGCAAACACTCTACAACCAAGCTGTGTTCCCAGACTTTTTCCTTCTTGTTTTTTTTTTTTTTTTTTTTTTTTTTTTTTTTTTTGGTCTTTTTGAGACCGCCTCACTATGCCCAGCTTCTCCTATTTTGTTTTGAAATTTTTTTTATTTTTTTCATTTAAAATAATAATATAGCCAAGTATGGTGGCATGCCTGTAATCCCAGCACTCAAGAGGCCGAGGCAGGAGGATTGTTGTGAGTTCGAGGCCAGGCTGGACTACAAAGTGAGCTCAAAGCCAGTCTGAACTCCATAGTGAGACCCTGTCTCAAAAAGTCAAAAAACAAAACAAAATATAATAATACTGTCACCTGCCTACCTTCCTTTTATTTATTTGTTTGTTTATTTGAGACAGGGTTTCTCTGTGTAGTTCATTCTGGCCTTGAACTCACTATGTAACCCAGGCTGGCCTCACTCTCAGCAATCCTCCTGCCTCAGCCTCCTGAGTGCTATAATTATAGGCGTACACCACCACACACGGATCTGATAACACCACCATGAAGGGACTTTGTTGGGTACTTTGGCACAGGGCATTCTGGGCACTAAGGAGGTGTTCTGTGTCAGAAGCTGGCAGGGAAGACAGCCACATGAGCAGCCTGGGCTGGTTGGTGACACAGCCTATCGCCCCTTCCTCCTACCCAGGCCCACTCTACCTGGCCATCATCCTTGGCTGTTGCTGCCGTGACAAACCCACAGTCAAAGAGTAATGAGCATGCACAGTGCCTCGGTTCTGCAGAAGTCCTGCGTGATATCAGTGGCTAAGACCAAGACGGGGGCCCAGTTAACTTGACTCTGCCTGAGGCCCTTGGGCAATCTGGGAACTTTTCTAGCTTCTGAGGCCATTGCATTCCTTGGTTCCTGGCCCCTTCCTCATCCTCAAAGTTAGTGATGGCGAGTGGAGTCCTCTCCTCACACACTCTTCCCTTCCGCCCTTCCATCTCTTTCTCCAGCTCTTCTGTCTCCTCTGCTACTTATAAGGAACCTGTGATGGCACTGGGCTTACTTGGATATCCCAAGATGATCTCCCTGTAACAGCCGATGGTGGCGGCACACACCTGCAGTCCCAGCCCTGTAGGAGGCTGAGGCAAGAGGACTGCTAGTTCAAGCCTAGCCTGGCGAACTTAGTGACTTAGTGAGATCCTGTCTCAAAATAAAAAATAATGGTGGACGCGGTGGCACACGCCTGTAATCCCAGCACTTGGGAGGCTGAGACAGGAGGATCATTGTAAATTCGAGGCCATCCTGGGCTACAAAGTGAGCTCAAGGCCAGCCTGAACTGCATAGCGAGACCCTGTCTCAAAAAGACAAAAATTACATAAATAAATAAGGGGGGATATAGCTCAGTGCCAAGGCCTTGGGTTCAATCTCCAGTACTGCGATAAAAAAGCTCTCATTCACCTTTGCCTTTTTTTTGGCGGGGAGGGGGGTAATGGGAATCAAACTCATGACCTCAGGCTTGCCAGGCAAGTGCTTAAGCCGCTGAGCTATACCCCCAGCCCTTGCCTCTGACATGTTACTTGACAGATTCATGGTTCCTTTAGGGCCCCGGCTTCTTCATCTTTGGGAGGTGGCACCAGTCTCGAGGCTTCAAGCAGGTGATCAGCAGCACCTGACCGGATAGAGAAGGTGGCATAAAGAGTCCTAGATGGACCACTGCCCGCAGACATGCTGACTCCCCGCTGTTTCCCCGGGAGCAGCCATCTCCAGCCCCTGGCCTTTGCCCAAGCAGGCTTCCCTCCCTTGGGAGAGTCCGGGTGTTCACCTCCTCTGGCTTTGGCTTCCCACACACCCCACAGCAGCCCCTTCCCCCTACACCTGGCCCACGTATCAGGCTGGACTTGTGTCCCCAGCACGAGGAACGGGCTTCTCTCCTTGTGAGGACAAAGCCCTAGTCATTGTTTCATCTCCTCTCCCCATGCTGTGTGGCCTTGGGCAAGTGACCTCACCTTTCTGGGCTTCCATATCCTCTTCTCTAAAATGGGGATGGAGACCATACCTCCTACAGGTTATTACAGGTGTGCACCACCATGCCTGGCCTGTCTTCTTAAAAGGAGCCAGTCAGGCTAAATTAAGGGCCACCCTGCCCCCACTATAACCTCATTGTAACTAATTTTACCTCCCATGGCCCTGTTCTCAAATGAGGTCTCATTTTGAGGGTTGTTTTTTTTTTTTTTTTTTTTGCGGTGCTGGGGATCGAACACAGGACCTTCTGTTTGCCAGACAAGAGCTTGTGCCACTGAGCTGTATCCCCAGCCCTCATTCTGAGGTATTGAAGGTTAGGACTGCAACATACCTTTTTGCAGGAGACACAACCTATTCAACCCATGCCATACTAAGGCTCACTGTCTCGGCCACGTTTGAGGCTTTTTACCGCACCAAAGGCTGTTAAAAATACCAGCCAAGGCCGGGCATGGTGGGGCACACCTGTAATCCCAGCACTTGGAAGGCTGAGGCAGGAGGATCATGAGTTTGAGATCAGCCTGGGCTGATCGTAGTGAATTCAAGGCCAGCCTAAACTACAGAGCAAGATCCTTTCTCAGTACAAAACAAAGTCAGGTACTCCAAGTTACACAGAGTGTAGTGGTGGCATACCTGCCAGCCTGGCACACCATGTATGGTCAGCCAGCACCTGGATCCAGAAGCCGCTGAGCCAGAGGAACCCCACCCACCGGGACTGTACTCATGAGGTCAGTGTAGGGGACAAAGTCTCCAGAGTTCCCTCACACGTCCTAACTTCACAACTCCCATAACAGCAGAGACTGGGACAGTCAGGGCGTGCAGTCCCATTGTCCCCCCTGA